TGTGTGTGTGTGTGTGTGTGTGTGTGTGTGTGTGTGCGTGTGTGTGTTTATGTATGTATATATTTATATGTGTGTGTATGTGTGTGTGTGTGCGTGCGTGCGTGCGTGCGTGTGTGCGTGTGTGCGTATGTATACACCAGGCTTCAATGTTGAAGGCTGGACATGATGCTGTGCCTTGTCGTCGGACGTTGTCCAAGGTCCCGTACCGGCCGTACGTCTAAGCGTGAGCGAATTCAGCCGCCCGCAAACATGTCGCGACGTCCATTTAATAGCAACATTTGCAGAACTAACACAATTCAATAAATAGGATAATTCAACATAAACTATAAGCTTCGAGTGAACCGAAATGACTTCTCCTTTTGTGGCGATTGTAACGGTTGCATTATAATATTGCCAATTGGACCCGTACAAATTTAGATCGCCTAATCATGACACCCTTTTCTACTACCAAATCCACCCATTCAAGTTGTTTATAATTAAATCCACAAACAATTGATAAGAAGGGCTCGCCTTCTACATTATCTTTGCCTTTACTTTTGCCCCGCCATCCATATCACAACACGATGTTCTTGTGGTCTATATGTATAATGGCGTCATGCACACACTAATAACAGATGTACAGTAATTGTTTAACCTTTTTCAAATATTCATAACATTGTGTTTTTCTCTGCAGTTTTTTTCCCGATACTTACTCCACTTCTGAAGCTGTTAAAAATACAATTCCTTAAAAAAGAAGATCAAGACTTCTTTGTCAACCTCACTACGAAGACTCTGGCGCTTAGACGAAATTCTAAAGAGGTACGCCAACCGTTGTGCGATTCGGGTGTTCTGCAGCAGCGGCTCCCATTCTACAATACTATATAATCTCTTGTCAGCGTGCTTGAAGCAAGTGGCCAAAAAGCTGCATTTCAACAACGCTTCACGACCGGGGAATTTTTCTTAAGCGACCGATGGATGACCAATAGGAGCAGATTAGGATATTTTGATGTATAGTTGAGATGTGTGTGCGTGTGTTCATGTGCGTGCGTGCGTGCGTGCGTGCGTGCGTGCGTGTGTGTGTATGCTTTCTGTGCGCGCGTGTGTGCACGCTTTACATATGACGTATACATTTCTAGGTACGACCAGACTTTCTCCAGTTGATGATGGACGCTCACAAGGAAATGCATGACAAATCTGGCGAAGTTCACAAAGGTTGGTGGTTATAAATATACCGTGACGTGTAGACCATTGAAAAGCGGCCCGCATGTGTCATCATTACAATATAATTGCAACTCAGCCTATATAATATTACTTTATCAAAAGGGAAAAAAATAGAAAAAGGTTGACAACACTAAAAGTATCCGTGAATTACGGTGTAACGCGGCAACGGGCTTATACTTTTATGAGGACGGAGGCGTGTATTTTCGGGATGTGGGATTAGACCCGAGATATACGAGATAAATATTTCGTTTTATTCTGGAATAGAAGTCAACCGGACATGGGAAAGCCGAAATTGGGTTTTAATTAACCGGGAAATGGGAAATGGCATATTTTTACCTGGTAAACTCATGTGAATAGACCCCTCCACACACACACATACATACACGCACGCATACACATGCACCTACGCGCCAATATGGGATACCCTGGAGTATTTACCCGTTCCCAGATCCCCCGTTCCATTCGCTGCTATATTAACGCGGTTCGCAAATGAAGTTTCACGTTTTAAAACGGCAACTGACTGCATGATACCGTCATCTAACTAACCATCAATCCAGGTTTGACGGATAAGCAGATCCTCGCACAATCCCTGGTCTTCTTCCTGGCCGGTTACGAGACGACGGCAACGCTGCTGTCAATGTGGTCCTACTGCCTCGCTACCAACCCAGAGTGGCAGACGAAACTGCAGCAGGAAGTGGATGACGTGATAGGCGGGGTGAGTGTGCCACATCAACCGTACGAACCACATATATTCTATGCAACACACGCGTAAAGACTACATACTGCGCATATATAGACATCATGAACATCTAGATAGACATATGTTTATGTAGGTATCTATGGTACGAAGCAAATGAATCGTGACGACCTTATCGTATATGTGACTACAATATAAGATATAAAAAAATATCTTGGCTGTAAAAATATCTTTACAGTGGCTGTTAGTTCGTCCTTGTAAACAGTTATTTTCCACTCATACGGTGATGTGATATTCTAGGGTTATTGTATAGAAGATTTGCCGAAATTCGTAACCCCACGTATGCGTGGAGAATAACTGGGGTTTTCGCGATTTTTTTAGACCGAAATCACTCACGCCAAGATTAAAGAGTTGCCGCTCCTGGACATGTTCATGAGTGAGGTCTTGCGCGTTTACCCAGCTATTACGAGGTAATGTAGGCTGTGATTCCCATGCAGTGCTCTACAGACTTAATTACCTGTCATAACATCTTGTTATGTAAGAGTATGTGTCGTATGTGTTACAGATCTGTAGCCACCAACACATTACACATGGTTTAGCATAGAGTTCATGTTGTTTCCCGAAGAGTTGCCATTAGGAGCCACTGTCGCTGTGATGTTATTTATTCATTGCTAATTTGCTATGTTTTAATTGCTATGTAGAACATATTTCATATAGATCTGTTTAACCTTTTCTAGTACTTCTACTAGTAGTAATCTTCTTCCTACATATGTGTTTGTTGCTTTCTAGGTTTAACCGAGAGGTTGGGAAGGAATATAAGCTTACTGATCAATTAACTCTTCCCAAGGGAACGGATGTTGCCATTCCAGTCTACTATATGCATCATAACGAAGAGTACTGGCCAGATCACAACAAATTTGACCCAGAAAGGTATTACATCATATATACACATACGTACATTGTATATACATTGTCAGCGACATAATACCTCTGATGCCTTTGCACATGCAAATTAATACAAAACATGTAATACGGTAATAAACCGATGGTAGCTACTGAACTCTGCGCCTTAAATACTAGCCGGCGACAAAAACACACAGAGGCCTTGTGAATATCGATCAAACGATCGTAGTTATTGGGCCAAGTTCTACGCACTGACTTCACGTCTTCGGCTACAGGTTCACCGCAGAAGAGAAGCAGAAACGTAACCCCTACACGTACGTACCGTTTGGACTCGGGCCACGCAACTGCATTGGGATGAGGTTCGCCAAATACGAGGCTAAGGTCGCCATAGTGAGCGCCCTTCAAGACGTCACATTCATTGTCTCTGACAAGACCCAGGTAACGAATCCGCGAGGGGTACTATCAAAATCATGGTAGTATCATGGACGTATATTTTAGGCAATGATTTTATCCGGGGAGTGCCCCCCCCCCGGGTGTAAACGCTCACACATACAATAATACATTAATCAATCACTATACTCCTTACAGGTACCGATGGACATGACGAAAATGAAACCCGGAGGTTTCCTGTACCCGAAAGATGGGATCATGCTTGAGGTCCGAAGACGTTGATACGAGCAGTGTTATAGCGAGAGGGGAGTTATATCGTGAAACCGCTAGTAGAGCACGCGCATGAAAATTGCAACACCACGTAAACGTATTAGTAACGAGTTATTAGTACCGTTATAGTAACGAGTCATTTATTCGTTCATGCTTAATTAGCCTCACCCGTTATTGTTAGACCTTTTATAGATTTAAAAAAGAATGAATCTAGAATAATTCTGATGTTAATTCACTAGGACCAAAATATGTTGAAAAATTTAATATTTTTTAAGGAAAATGTTTCTATACTAATGATTGCAATGCGACCAACGTAGAATGCAATGAAAGAATAAAGCAAACAGTCCACATGATGTATGACTGAATTTTGTTGTTGCTCCTTTTGTTCTTGGCAAAACCAAGTTGGAATTAACGTTATAACTTACGGCCCGGAGAATTGAATTATAATATCAACCACTTAGTTTCACGCCTCACACTTTTATTGTCCACATATTCACATAAATTTAAACACGATTTAATATATACTATAACATCGATACCCTTCGCATTCAGATGCGAAATTGATGATAAATTAATTACATTACAAATCTTTTCTAATGATATATCAACAATTCTTTGAAGAGATTTCTCACATACGTGTATACGCGCATTGCCTATAATAATATGGGAAGCATATTGGAAATAAATCATAGCAACAGATGTAACAAAAACAACAATAAAACCTCAACGTGACAATGCTGGAAAAGGGGAAATAATGTTGGGTTGAAGTGTCCTGCTTTGATAGGTGAATCACATAGTTAGTATTGCACCAGTTCTGACAGTTTTATGGTCATTTTCCCCAAGTTCAGCCTCAACAATCAAATAATGTGACACAGGAATAAAGATGAAGTCTCGACAGAGGAACACAGCACGGATATTCAGCAGGCAAGCAATGAAAATGCAATATTTATTAGTGCTGAAATAGGGTGGTTACACTTTTGTTTAAGCATTTACAATTCTAGATAGGATTCTCTCCTAGGAGCATGCATGTGTATACAATGCGTGCGTGCATACATTTGTACGTGCATGCATACGTATAATCCATCACGTCAATCTATCACCAACGCATCAACAACGCCATCCCTTATTCTTGCACCAGCCCATTGTCGTTTAATCACACACCGAAATACAATCGTAAGAGAACCGCCTCCACTTCGCGGTAACTAACCACGAACTCAGCCACCGATCGAACGTACCGCAAGCGAGCCCGCGTTTCACGTCCGCACGCGCCGCAACGATAGACGCGCCATGTCGCCGCGAAGACCGACGCGCCTTGTCGCCGCGACGACGGACGCGCCTTGCCGCCTCGACGACGGATGCGCCTTGTCGCCGCGACAACGGACGCGCCTCTTCGCCGCGACGACGGATGCGCCATGTCGCCGCGACGACGGACGCGCTGCATCGCCACGACGACAGACGCGCCACGACGTCGTCGTCGCTTCACAGCTTCGCGGCGGGCCCTGACCCTGGGTCGTCCGCCACGAGGTCGACATACGCTCCCGTCAGCGCGGCCTCGCCCGTCTCGTCGACGACGCAGCGCAGGTGCACGCGTTCTCCGCGCCGCC